TTTATTTCGGTTCGTCGTCTACCTCAGCCGCTGCCTCATGTGTGTGTATATATGCCATTCCAATGTGCCGAGTAGAAGGTAAAATTGTCATCGCTTTTCGCATGGATATATTCATTGTGTACTCGATTTCCGCACCATCACTCACCATAAGTCTGTGTTGCAAGTGAATGCAAGCGCTGTATTAAACAACTTGCCAAAAAGACAACAAAGCAGTCACGCTTCTACAGACTCACACACACACACACACACACATAGACAAAAACACTCGGGGAAAAAGGAGCTGGTGCAGTGCATTTTGTTCTCTTGGTTCGGAGCGAAAAGGAAGTGAAATGGAACAAAAGACTTCAAGTAAACAGTATACAGTTCTCACACATAACCGGAATGATACCTAACCCAAGAGCACTGAAAACAGAATAATTAATTAATTAAATATTTTTGCTTGTTTATCCCATCAAATTAATGCCCGATAACGGGTCTTATTTCGCATGCACAAGGCAAAAACCGGAAGGGATAACACCAGCACACAGCATTACTGGCTGCTCAATGCTCACTCAACTCAAAAACCACCTAAATATATTTGGTGACAATAATTCGCGTACTAGCCGCACTTTTTCATTCACAGTCGCCCTGTCTCTTTCTCGCTTGTTTATGCAATTTTGACTTTCGCTTCGGCGAAAATGCCCAAAAAATTCGCGAGGCGTTGTTTGCTGTGAATTCAATTGTTAGTAGTCGGTTCGAATGAATAATTGAATTTGCTGTTTGCGTGTAAATTTGTTGTCGCTGATGTTGTTCGCGTTCTTCCTCTCGCTTTCTCTTTTTTTTGGATATAGCTCTGTGTTCCAATTTCGGTATGCAAATTAAATACGCTTTGGGGAAAATGGTGAAAAGCGCTCGAAACACAGACACAGCCGATCGTTAAAAAAATCACAGGCGTGTTGAAAAAAAAGCCAGAATGAAAACAAGAAATAACGATGTCTTTTTTATAGTTTCGAAAGTCGGCAATGGTTTTGTGCTTGCGTCTCTTTGTGTGTGTGTGTGTGTGTGTGTGTGTGTGTGCTACCGAATGATATTTTCCGTCAGAAATGTCCGCTGGAGGGCACGTCTTTGTCGGCGATAACATATGCATCAGTGGGTCGGATGAAGAAGGGAATGCATTTTGTGCCATTCCATGTGGCATACATAATTTGCAATAGTTTGCTGTTGTTTCGCAAAGACAGCAGTCTTCACGATCGAGACCATCCAATGACTTTTGATCATTTGTTATTTATTCGGTCTGCTGTTGTACAGTAGAGGAAATTCTGGAGACAGACATAATGATGTGTGCTGAAAAGCGCACACACACAAAAAAAAAGAAAGAATAAACGAATAAACGAATAAACGAACGAACGAACAAAAAAAGGCAAACTCATGCTCAACTTGGCTGAAATCTTTGAGAAATGTTTCGTAAATACTATATAAGTGTTTATAGAAAGTTGTGCTGTGTGCTTCGGTCAACGCATTTCACTCTCTCTCTCTCTCTCTCTCGCCCTCTTTCTCTTCCCAGAATACCTGACAGATAAAAGTTGGAAATTGCAAATGGTAAGTCGCATTTTCATCGTCGCAAAAGTAAACTTTTCTTACGACATAATACTGTAATTCCAATCGAGATTTGGCGTTTTCAACACTCCAACTCTTGACGAGAGAGAAAGAGAGAGAGAGAGAGAACGGGAGAGAGAGGAAAAAAAGTTCTAATTGCTTTTGTCTGTGTGCAAACGTTTTTTTTTTGCTTTACATGTCAAAGCAGGCAAATATTTACTATTGTAAAGCTGTTGAGCATGTCTTTCTCTCTGCCGCTGCTACTGCTGTTTATTTCAAAGGGAGACTGGCGCGCGAGTAAAAATGGTAAGCACGTGGTGCTTTCTAATGATAAAAAAGTGTTTGTTCACGTTCTCATCTCTTTTCTCTCTGTTCCACATTTTTTTTTCGTTCGCTTCTGTAATGTTTTTGTTTTTGAATTCCTCTTTTGCGCGTGCAGCATTTCTAAATGTGTATGGTACGTACGCCGTCCATCACAAAAATTTCAACACATCATTTTGTACATTTTTGTTTCACTCTCGTTCGTTCTCTGTTCATTCGACTCACAAAAATGATATTTAAACTTTTTATTCGTTTATAATCTACATAAGACTTGATAATTTCACTTGAAATTAACTGCATAAATAAAATGGCCAACAGCGAGTTGTGAATGGGTCGGAATGTTGGTTAGTCAGTGAATGGTAAATCTAACCAGATAAACCGGGATGATGACGATGACGACGGCGGCAACGGCGACGGCGACGGACAGAGAAACATTTTTAATGAAAGTCGAGGTAAATGGAATTATGAGGAAGACAAACGTGAGAGATTCACGCCACTCACTGCCTGAATGAGAGAGAGAGAGAGAGTGAGTGAGAGAGAGAGCTAGTCGCACGCTCACCGCTACTTGATGGTCACAATTCAACATACACAACGTAATCATATGAAGCAAGATTTTGGTCTACAATTCCTTTGTGGTTACTTAATTAAAATTTTATTGAATTTTTCGTCATGGATTTCGGTTTTTGTGCTTCTCTGTTGTTCTCACTCCCTTTTTTCCTTTCGTCCGTTTTATCACACTTTTCGTATACTCTCGCTGTCTCCCTTGGCCAACCGAAATGGCAATATGCTTTTCAAATAAAATGTTGTCGAAATAAAATATTTATGAATCTTCCAGCAAGAGTTGCATAAGTGATCTTCAAGCGAAGCTGCTTAAATACGGCATTAAATAAATAAAATCGTATAACAAGCCTTAGTGGACAAACATTTTACTACAACCACTTATATTGTCGGAGTTGGTCTTATGTTTTTGCCTACACACACACCAAGCATGTCGACCTCTTGTCGTTTGAAGAGAAGAAGAAGAGAAAAAACGAGCTCTTGTCTCTGGCAAGAGAAAGAGAATGAGAAAAACGAACAGAATTAAGAAGAAAAGAACAAAGATTCTCCTAGGCACTTTTACGCCTTCTTTCAATCAGAGATTTAATGGTGTTATAGACGCATTACGTGCAAACAATGGTATTATCCTGTTGACCGCTCGACGTCAGAAACGAATTGTTCGACATTGAAGTAATCGGTGTAGAATTTGAATGTACAAATCCACAAACACTCACTCTCGCTCTCATTTGTAACGATTCAAACGATCTCGCAACTGAACGAGTAAGAAGTGCTGTGCAATTGAATAGCATCGAGATTCATAGTTTTCGACTTGAACAGTTAAGTGCTCTATAATGATATTATTATGTATTACCAGCAATGAAGATAAATGAAGAAAAACTGATAAAATCGATCGTTTGTGTTTAAACAAAGTTTGTTTGGGTTTTTTTTGCGTTGGATTCATTTGGTCGGACATTTTATTTTAAGACAAATATTGTTGAATTGCAACTTCTTCTTGACAGAATATTGGCTGAATCAATTCCATCTGATTTGATATTTATTTGTTGTTAATCAAAACTGTCAAACTGCAGAATTGCTGTGACAAAAATTGTGGTAAAACTGATTGATTTGCGGACACAAAATTATTTGCTGTGTGTTTTTCTTCTTCTGCTTGTGCTTTCGGTTTCAGCTGGTGAATGTGAATGCGAAATGCCTGACATCAGCACAAATGAAACACATAGCACGTTCGTCAAGCAATGATGTGGTAGCGTAATCGAATTACTAAATGCAGAGATTGTATTTGTTGTTGTTGCTGTTGTTGCTGTTTTTGTGTGTGTGTGTGGATAGAAAAGCGCTGTGGAAAAATGGAATCGTTAACTGGCTGAATTCTATAATGGTTGTCATCATTTAAGTCCATTGCATTGCCGTTTCAAACTGTTCAACGAGATTTTATCCAATAATTCTAATTGTTTTAGCTGCTCCATCAAAAAGCGCACTGATGCATTTTACATCGTGCCATGAGCCATTCGGAGCGCATCTATATTTTTTTCTCTCCATTTTTGGATCACACTCTTGCTGTTGCTCGCGCCCGCCCATCGGGATCTATCACATAGTTTCAATGCACTTGCCAGTCTGACTGAATTCAACACAACTGAAGAGCGAGAGAAAACGGTTGTAAAACTAAAATCAAATATTCCATCTATGTTGCCCTCGCCTATGGTCATTCTATGACAGCATAAAGCCAGATATAGTAAGAGAGAGTGAGCGAGTGAGAGAAAGGAAAAAAAAATATTTCATAAATTTTTATGGACAATTAAAGTTTATTTTGATGGGAATGCACTGTTTATGCTCTGTATGTAAAATGCCAACAATTTTAACACTTTAGAACGTGAAGTGGAAGAGAACTGTTGTAATTAAAAGTCGAGCAAAAACTAGAGAGCAAGAGAGAGATAGAAAGAGAGAGAGAGAGAGAGAGAGAGAGAGAGAGAGAGAAAGAGAGAGAGAGAGAGAGAGAGAGCAAGAGAGAGGAAAAAAAGACGCACACGACTTTCCAATGAACAAGACAAGAGAGAGAGAGAGAGAGAACATTTTGTGCTGTGTGATAATGTAAAAAGGCTCATCCATGGTCGAAGCTGATCAGTATTCAGCACACTTTCAACGAGCTGAAAAGCTTGAGCTCGACTCAAAACTTTCAAATTAGTTTAATATGGTTATGAAATGGAAAATATAGGCAAAAACGACGACGACGACGACGACGACGACGACGACGACGACGACGACGACGACGACGACGACAACGACATCGCAATAAAAGTGAATCCAGAGAAAATGTCATAGCAAATACAAAGAAAAAAAGGGAGATAAAACAGAAGAAAAAAAATATGCACAACGAACAAGAAAACAACAGAAACAGAAATTACAAAGAAAAAGAGAGACGAAAGACATTCCAAAGAATGTTTGGGGGCAGAAAAAAAAATAAACTCCAACGATGAGTTCGCAATAGACGTGAGAACAAAAAAAGTGAATGCGATATATGGTTATTAAGAATGTACATGTATAAAATGACTTACCCAACGGAATTTTTTCGGCCAATAATTGAGCATTTAATCCGTGTACAGCAAATATTTGTAAAATGATTGCATAGAAAAGCAGCGATGACATCGTCACTTCTCGGCGGTTAATTTTTTGACGGCGGTTGAATATGATATGCATGTTAACAATCCGAGGAATGGAAAAAAACAACGAACCGAACCGAACCGAATAAAAAAACGATAGTTGTTTGTTGTGTCGCTACGTTTTGATTCTATTATCTATCGTGCTCATTCACTTTAGTTCTGTTCTCTGTTGTTTTTTGTTATTTTTCGATGTTTTTGGTGTTGTTCTTTTTGTTCACAGCACCAACAAATTGCATATGCAAGTGGGTCGGTGGCGCGAGTTTATAATTTTGTGTACACACATACACACACTCAGGACTCAATGTAAAACCATTTGAAATTCAGTGCGATGTCCAAAAATTGCGCTTCTCTCGGGCTGGTGCGATATAAACTATGGAATTTAAAAAAAAGCACGACTTCATAATTTTGTTCTCTATATATATTTTTTTTGTTACTCTGTCTCTCGACCCAACTTTATCTCTCGGTTCATTTGCTCAGTATGGTGGCTCAGCAGCGGAAAACTTTCAAGTTTGTCACCGAATCAACCGAACAAGTTTGTGTACGGCGCCTTCAATCAGGTATTCAGCGCAGAAAATACAAATTGACTTCGGCTACTTTATTATTTAAACAGTCTAACCAAGATAGAGAAAAGTGTTCTGTTATGATGATAAATAGCACGAAGCGAAGCGAAGCAAAGATAATGATGAGAGTGAGACCGACAAAAAGCGGGTGTTTTTGTTGCAATGGAACTTTCTACAGTTTCAGATGGTGGTTGAAATTTTTGAATTTGGTCATCCCGTTTTAACCGAACTAAACTTCACGTTATATTTTTTGCTCTTTTTCTTCTTTAAAATTTAAAACATTTTCACGATCGTTAATTCAACAAAATGGATGGTCTTTAATTAAAGTTAAGTAACATCGATGTACGCACACATACACTTTCATACAACACACACGCAGTGTCTTTCAATGAACGCCTATCAAACGAACCGAATTCAATTCTAATTATGTTTAATTCGGTTTTAATACCACACTAAACGTTTTCACTTGCAGCGGCCAACAGCGAGATTCAAGTACTATTCGGGAAAATCGTAAGTTGAAGCGATTGTGTAAATAAATGCAGTCCGTGTCTTTAGTAGCTGTATCGAGTGTGGGCAAATGACCAGCTAAAACAGAGTAAAACTGTGTTGCTTGGAATAGTCGACATAATTTCATTCAATTTGTCCTTTGATGCCTTTTACACATTCCCCACTATATATATATATATACATATATTAACGTGAACATAACCACACCAACACCGTACCTCTCGCTCTATATTAAATAAGGCCCGGTACTTGGTGTTTGTGACCGGGTGAACGAGCGAATGTGCAAACGAACGAACGCGCGCGCTCTTTACTTTTGCTTTTGCGAGACAAGAGATGTTGTGCAAATTGAAATTTAACGGATGGCAGGCAATCTACTTAAAATAGTTTGGCAAAGGGCCTTTTATAACGTTAACGCAATTAATTTACCACTGAACCAGTTCATTCAGTAGATTTTGCCGTTGATAATTATTTTAGTTGCCATTAAATTAACCATTCGGAACTCTCGGATTGAATATATATAAAGGAGGTTTCAACCAAATTCTTCGCTGACGGAATTTTCGGCGCGCGTAATTTGGCTTCGCTTGCCGATTGATTGAACCGAACGAATCACACTTAAATAATTTCCGTTTGTTGTTGTTGTTGATTTTTTTCTGTTTGTTCGTTCCTTTTACGAGCTTCCAGTTATTGAAATTGAACGAATTTTATGAATGCTATTGAAAACAGTGCACCAAATATTCACACAACTCAAACGACATGCTTATCGGATTCCTTTGTTTCAACTGTTTTTTTGCTGACTTTGACTTGCTGTATGATAAATATTTTTTTTTTGCGGCAAACTGACGCTTTCAAACGAATTTTCCTCTCATAAGCGCGGAGACTCGGCTGTTAGCTGAATGCTTGCTTGTAAAATGCACGATGTTCCGAAGCGAACTGAAGATATTTTCATCTTGTGCATCAATTTTTATCCAGCTGTTGAGATACAGGCGGCTGTGTGCGCCCCATCGAAAAAAAGCAGCACGCTCCACGAGATGCCGATTACGCTGCGTACTACTGTGTAACGCATCGGTGTGAGCACGACACAGTACACACAGCAGAGCATAAAGCACACAAAGCATTTTTGCCATCGAATGTGTGCCGCCGTTTGAACGACGATAAATGTATATACATATTTCCATGCATCAGCAGCAGCAGCGGCAGCAGCACACACCGATCCGATACTACTCTATTCCCCTTCGGTATGGTTTTTGGAGGCCCAACTCTTACGAATTGTGCTTTTGATTTTAGCTTTTTGTCGTTCCGTCTGGTTCGGTCGTTTCGTCATGCCAATCGAAGTAGTATTGCTTTGGATGGCGTTTTAGTTTGTTGGAAAACGTGTTGTGCACGCTTTTATCACATCGGCAGCATTTTTTTTTCTCGTGCTGCTGCTGTTGCCGATGCTGTTACGGGATCATATTACAATGAGCAGCAAAGGATGAAAAACGCTTACCATCAAGCATGCGATTCGCTGTGCATCTCAACAGCGTTACCATATTTTCGTGCTCTTCTGCTGCTGCTGCTGCTGTTGTTATTGTTGTTGATGATGATGATGGTGTTTTGGATGGTGCAGCTTCCGCTGCTCGCTGCTACTATCGCTTTCGTTGCTGTTGTTGTTTTCATCGCATATTGTTTTCGTGTGGAAAACCTCATTGTTGCATGATGATATTTACACTGGCCGCCTTGAGCTTTTCATTCTTTCACTTCATGCAAAGGGGATGTGTGTAATTTCTGAACTTCGATGAATGTACACATTACACATTAGACAGATTGGGTGAAGGCGCGGAATTTACACGTCAGGACACACATTCACATGCTTCTTGGCGAACGAAGCAGAACAAAAAAAAGATTTAGATCGAGCACAGAATCCACACACATGGAATCTGACGTGGTTTGCACCAATTCGCGGTCCAACGGAAGAATTTCGTTCATTCAACAATTTGTTAACGTTCGCCAGCTGCACTTTTTTTTCCCACTAGCAACAACATTGCTAGCCACCATCAACATACACAACGCACCTAAACGACATGACAAAAAAAAAACTATGCACTACACTTGTCCAGTAAGAGTGTCGTTGGATGATTGTGTTGCAATTTCTCCTTTTTTTTCAAGCTTAATTTTGTTATCAAATGACAAAATTGCCACGAATAAGTGAAGCACTAACGGAATGTTCACACATAGTCGAAAGGGAAGCACACAAAACGTTACGGTTAACATGAAAAAATGATGAGTTTTTACGGGGAATTGTCCCGTTTGCTTTTGCCATTTCTTTCTGTAGCATAAGGTGTGATACAACGGTTCATGTTTATTATTCCCTGAGCCATATTTAACTTTCATTCTAATTAAACCCTAATTTCATCAAATTCATTGTGATAACATCCATACTTTATTCAATGAAACCATTTCATTCTTAATGAATTTTTTTGTTTTTGTTCTTTCATGAAAATTCATGATTCCAAATGCCGTTTTCGTCGCAAATATGAAATAAAATGAAATTATAGATAAAAATGTGCTTGTGATAAACTTCAATTTGATACAATGAATAGGATGCACGAATAATGTTTCATATATATGTTTTGGGCCATTTTGCATTAGCCCCAAGAAGTCTCTTAACAAACACTAGCTGTGGTGAAACCGCAATACAAACTTACCCAAATATTTACCCGAAATTGCTTCGAACAAATGAGCTTCATTAACATTCCAGTCAGAGAGTGAGCGAGTAAGTGAATGGGAGAGTGGTAAACGATTCTCGATGGCATGAGAAATATCCATCTCAAAATGTTCGGTTGGCTTAAGCTTCAACTTGTTTTAAGTCACTTCAACAATGCTATCAACTATTCAACTCATTGAAATAACATTTTCCCTCATTCTCTCTTTTTGGTGCGTCTTTATCTCTCATTTTCCGGTCTTCCATTCCATTCTTTCTCCATTCGAGCACTTAATTTTAATCGTGCGATAGCAATTTTAATTATATTCTAAATACGCATGTCATTCAACTCTTCTACTCGAAGGAGGCTGTAATTTGATTTATTCGCGACCTGAATTCAATAGAAATCAATTGAATCACGTTTCACACACATTTTCGCCTCTTCTTTTTTTCCAACAAGAATATCCAGTTGAAATATCGAATGAAACATCGTATCGATATCTAATAATATTTACATGAAATTTCATCTTCAAACGTGAAATGTCATCTATTTTATCTTCAAAAATACGCATATATTGCTTTTCGCGAACACAACAATAATAAAGAAGTTAATATTTGGGAGAAAAAAAAATATTCAGCTTACATTTTAACCGTTTTTTTATTCTTTTCTTCTTATGAAAATCATATTACATCGGCATTTTAATGGTGATTTTACATATGTACAAAAAAAACAACACAGAGCAATACTTATTGGAACAAAAAATGTGTTTGGTTTCAATATAATAATTATTCGTTAAAATTGTTCATTTTTTAACCAGAGAAAAAAAATTCAGCACCGAAAATCGTTGAGGCCGTTTAGAAATTATCCGATTTTTTTTTTATATATGACCACCCAATGGAAATGTACATAGTTTATACTGTAAACAGTGTTTACTAAACACTAACATAAAATTTTGTAACAAAAAAAAAAACACGATGATGCAACCAGAGTCCATGTCGCGTTCAAATTATCCAATAACTGAATTTTGCTGATTTGTGCTACCGTGCGATGCATTTATGATTTGGTTCGGATTCGAATGCTATTTTTTGTCGTTTGTTTTCTCTCTGGATTTTTCGCAATTTAACGGGAGAAAAAAGAGAGAGAGAGAGAGAGAGAGAGAGAGAAAAAAAAAGAGAAAGCGCGTCACAACACAATTTCCCAATTGATAATATGATGTAATTGTGACGTCTACAGCATGGTTTTTAAGCGCATAATAAATTCCATTTCAGCAGTTGAATTCCGTTTGAACAGTTGAACAGTTTGTAACACATAACGGTTGAATATATAGTAAAAAAAGATAGAAGCAAGGGCTATTTTGAATTGCGTCTCACGTTTCGTGTATTTAAAAATGGAGAGAAATTCGAAACTTTGAATTAAAAATTTGTGGTAAAACTCATTACAGTTTGTTTTGTACTTTTTTCGCTTATATTTCTGTGTCTTCTTTTCGTTCTCGTTGAGAGTTTTAGCATTTAGTTAGATTCACCAAAAAAATAAACAAGCACCATTTCCTCTTCGATGGGGAGAGACAAACAACCAGAAGCATCGAATTCATCGCTTGCTGAAAATTCTTCTGCTGGAGGTGTAAACATGAACTGAACTACCTCTCTAAAACAAAAATTCTACATATTCACAGGATGTAAGCTAATACATCTCATCCTCAAACTAAAACTCCAAAACAATTTTCCGGTTTCGTTTGAGCGAAGCACAAAAAAGAAGGAAAAAATAACTTTAACCGAAAAAAGCACTTTTACTTTCACAAAAAAAAGAGGTTTCGATGTTTCTATAGAAATGACGACACTTCTCACTCTCAATTATCGATGCAAATGTGTTAGTGAAATTTGTAGGCTATGTACCCACTTGCTAGCTACATATTGGAATTTGCGTAATCTAAAGTGACAAACAAATGAAGCGATAGTCTTGCATCTTTGCGTGTTCGTCGTTCGAATCGAATGAAAAGAATTGTAGAACTCAACCCAAATTGCGAAAATCATCTGACCCATAAACTCTGTAAAAATGATGAATTCTTCTATGCTGAAATAAAAACGACATCGATTCAACGAAGTCAAACAAAAAAAAAACAATGTGCCATGATTGTTGATGAAAAAGCCACTTCAACCTCCTAACGAATTCACAATATTTGTTGATCGACGAATTGAATCGATGGACAAATACACGAAATGTTCAATTGTTGGTAGCAGAAAACAACAAAAACTAGAACGAAAAAAATGGTGAACCTGAAAATTGAACAATTGACAAAAAGGATTTGGTGGCATGGTGAAGCGAGTCGTGTCAAGATTCCAATTTTAATGACACGACGCAATTGAACTGTAATCGAATCAATTCGTATTTTGACAAAGCGTAGCATAATCAAGCTTTTGGGAGCGAGAATTCGACAGACGAATGACGACACGACACAACACATAGGCGACACACAGCGAGATGTACCAAAGGTGCTGGAAAAACGAACAACGAAAACGGACACAAATGAGGGTGAGAACGGAGTATAGTACGAAAGGATGATGCGATGGGTGGGTGGGTGGGTGTGGGCATTATAGTTGATGAACGTGCATTTTTGTGTGCAGGTGATACACTCGCAAATTGTGTAAAATATATCGCCAACGATCAATCCCAATCGAATCGATTGTTGGTGCGACTCATTCGTTCTGTTTTTTTTTTTTGTAAAATTCCCATTACGCCGTGTTTTTTTCCCTTTTGTCCTCGGGAACGACTCGGTTCCAATGTATATTTATTTCAACTGAAAATTTCATATTTAGAAATGAGGAAATGGAAAGTAATAGTGAAATAAATAAAATGCATTTTCAATGTGCCTCTATTGCTTCCTGGTAAACAAAATTCAATTGAAATAGTAACGGTGCAGCCTTTCGCTCTTCCTCTCTCTCTCTCTCTCTCTCTCTCTCTATGTGCTCTCGTCACATTCATTTGTCTAGCTCATCCAATTTCCATTGTCTCTTCTGTTTATTTTGTGTGTTTTTGTTTTTCCGTTGTTGTTTTTTCCGATCTTTGTCTCTTCTTCTTCGTATTTTGTTTTTACACTGAAACCGTTAGTTTACGTTGAGAATTCATGCACCTTAGTCGGTATTGTTTGTTCACTTTCTCCCTCAATCATATGAAATCGCGATCGTGGAGGCTTCTACCATGTCAACGGTTCAACGGAAAATCGGAAAAAA